ATATATATATATACACACACACACACACACACACATCCAGCAGTGGATAAAGAAAATGTGGTATCTGTAACCAATGGAGTACTACTATGCCATAAAGGATAAACTTGAGCCATGTGTAGGAAAACGGGTACATATTAAGACCATAAGGTTAAGTGAAATAAATCAGACACTTCTCTTACATGAGAAGCCCAATGTATAAAGTTCCAAATAAAAGAGAGATAATAGGAAAGAGAGAGGGAGAAAGTTATTGTAATCCAGCATGGCCAATATATCTAAAAGTATATCTTGATTTAGTGTAATTGTTTTATATGTTTTTTGTTTGTTAGTCTATTAATCTATTAATGTTATAAATTTACGGTAATTAAGTTGATACTGGCAAAAAATTTTTTTAAGGGGGTGGAGGGGAAGAGGAAAAACAGAATGGAACTTGTTAAGTACATGTAGCAGTTCCCCACAATGAATGCTATCATTATGTACTGCAAATGTATACTAATAAAAACAATTTCTAAATCTTAATGTCTTGGGTCAAATTTGTGATACCACCTACATGGCCTCCAAACTGTGGATGTGTTTAAATAAAGTAGATCTGGGACCAAAATAGAAAAGAGAGAGCAACCCTCTTAATCCACTGTCCTGAGATTCTTCGTGGACTCCGGCAGCCAGGGGCCTGGGGGAGGGGAGGGGAGATTGGAGGACAAGGCACCCCCTGCACCCCCATCCCCCCACAGGGAGGCTGCGCCCAGGAGGAACATGGGACTGGCACAGGAGCCACAACCAGTGCTCACTCTGCCTCATCTGAGAGTCAGGGTTGTGGCTCCCCTCCCAGGTCTTGGTTTCCTCCTGGGCTGTGGGGTGCCGGTGCCCTGGCCTCCCAGGCTGATGTGGACATTGGGAGGGGGCCTCCTCCTCCCAGCCGAGCCTGTTGGTCACTCCCTGTGCCACCGATGTGCTTGCAGGTCCTGCCCTGACATTTGTCCTGGACGTGGGCTCCTGACCTGCAGACCTCCCACACCCCGCACCCTCTGCGCCCCTCCCAGATGACATCACCAACCACGCAGACGGTGACCGGGCTGTACCCTGGCCTCTGGGCTCCTTGGGTCCCCAGGTCCCACAGTCCCACCCCCTGCCCTGCTCCCACGGCAGGCTCACCCCTGAGAACGGCTCCACCTCCAGCAGCTTGAACATTTCTCTGCCCCTCATCTCTGACTGCCCTGCCCTGCATGAAGCCAGCCATGAACCGTGTACCCAAACCCAAGCAGCTGGTCCCCATGGACAGGGGAGTCAGAGACCAGGGGAGACTGACTGTCATGTAATTCTCCAGCCACTGAAGGTCCTCACCCCCACAAAATCTTCTTGGTCGGTTTCCCAGGTCGGTTTCTTCTCCCTCTCCATGATGATCCCAAACCCTTCCCATTTTCCTCAGGCCTCCAAGCCTTTCCCAACCCTGGCCCTTAGCAGAAGCCCCAGCCTCCTGCCTGTCGGAGGTGGTAACCGCCACCAGGCAGGATGCCCCTCAGCTTCCAAGACCAAGCCAAGAAACTACCTGCGCGTGCCCCGCCTTCCTGTCTCGAGTTCCGGGGCACCCTGCCCACCCCGTGGGCCCCCACTCTTAGGAGCCAGCATTTGCGGACCAGGCCTTCCCCTCCACGGAGTGCTTTCTGTACCTTCCAATATGTGCAGCTGCCTCCCATCATGAAGAAAGGGACGGGGGAGAGGAGGAGAGGAGGAGGAGGAAGAAGAGGAAGAGGAAGAGAGCGTAGAGGGCACAGGGGAGGAACCAGGAAGGAAGAGAAAGTCCTGCGGCCTCAGGCCTCTCCACTTGTCACCCTCTTCCCTCCTTACACTCTTTCCCACGTTGCTGTCCTCTCCTTGCCTTTTACCTGGTCTTCTCTGGGGTACTCTGAGAACTGCCATAATCAGTGGGATTTATTCCTCACAGTTCTGATGGCCGAGAACTGCAAGGCCCAGGTGTCTGCTGAGGGTCTGCTCCTGCCTCGTAGATGGCGTCCTGCTTTTGGGTCCTCACACGGTGGGGCCGGGGAGAGGGCCCTTGGGACTCTCCCGCCGCAGGGCTAGGATTTCAGCCTGTGAGATGGGGGAGCGGGGAGCACATAAACATGCACAATCATAGCATTTCCCACCAGCCTCCTCGTCCCTGTCTGGATTCCCATCGTGCGAGTGACCAAAAAGCAGCCCCAGTAGCCTGACAGCCCCCATTTTCATGGAAACCTCGCCTGGCCTTGGCAGCAGGTGACCGAGGCTCAGCGTCTGTCCTCCGCCACTCTCCCCACCGCTCTCCTCCTGCCCCTCGCTGCTCTGTGGTCTCTGCGGACGCTTCCTTACTGGAGCGTAGAGTCCTGTGCCTTCTTCCTCCCCCTGTTCCCCTGCCTCGGCCCATTCACGATGGCATCGTTACCAATCGCAGCAAAGCACCGTCTTTCACCCAGGTCTACCAGGGCACTGCCACTGACGTCAGCCCCACACTCAACACGTCTCCCAGACTGCGGTCTTCTCAGCCCTCTTCCCCCTCACAATTCTCTTCCCTCACTGTCGGCATCCAATCTACCACCGAGTCCTGCAGGTTCTATTTCCTGAATTTCTCTGGACTCCGTCCGGTCCTTTCTATCCCCACTCTGCCCCTTGCCTAGGAAGCTCCAAAGCCCCTCAGTCTCCTGGCCACACTGTTCGGGACCCAGCCCCAGGCCTTGCTGTCCACACAGCCAAGCACCTTCAGAAATCACGTCCATCCCATCCTTCCTTCCGAAGGTATCAGCGGCTTCCCGCTGCCGTAGGGTAGCTGTGCATCTCCTGATCACAGAGTTCCAGAACCTGTTGGTTTGAAACTCACTGGTTCTGGGTCATCCGGCCTAATTCAACGTCTGCTTCTGTCATTTACTGCTGTGGTGACTCCAGGCAAGTTACCTTCTGCGTCCTCTTAGACTTCAGTGTCCTCTGTAAAACAGGAGGAGTAACAGTACTATTTCCTGTGGTTGAGAATTAAACACATTAAACACCTAGAATAGTGCCTGCTACGCCCTCAGTAAGTGCAAGCTCTTACTGTCCCCCGGGGCCCAGCCTCAGCTCTCTCTCTGTTCTGCAAAGGGTTGGCTTCCTTTTGGGCCTCATTCCTAACCCCACACCCTCTCCCCATGGGGCTTTTGCACACTTTCTCTCCTCTGCTGTTCACTGCCAGTGCAGCCGCCAGGTCACGACTCAAGTGTGGCTTCCCTGGGGAGGCCCCACAGGTGCTGGGCATCACAGCATTGTGTATTTAGTTGGGTTTTGCAGGGAACCAACTATCGTACGAGTCACGATAATCTCTTCTGCCAGCACAGGAACTGTTTATTTTTGTCACTTTTGCGACTGGCATCTAGCACGGTGCCGGCATACAGCAAACAATGAATATTTGCTGGTGAAGACAAAGACGGTTGGAAGTGTGCTCAGGTCCTCAGGAGGTTGAGCTGACGTTCCTGAGATCTGCCGAGCACCTCCTTCCTACCACCCAACAATTCCTTTGCTGCTGATCACAGTGCCTGAAAATCTACCCCTGGGGCCGCTCCTTTGGAGAGGGTGTAACCTCTGAGACCACAGTACATCGCTTAGCTCACAAGGCACAGAGCTCAGTGTCGGAGCCAGATTTGATCATTTTCTTCGGGACATAAATTCGGGAACAGAGGCACAGAGAGGAGTAGGGAGGGATCTCATGTCACCCAGCAAGTTGGTGGTAGCATAAAGACTGGCGCGGGGCTCTGACTGCCCTTGCAGTTCACTAGCTTGTTCATTTCATAAACATGAAGTCCTGCTGTGGCCAGAGGCAGAGGCCACCGCAGGAGGGGTGGTGCTGCCAGAGAAGGGCCCGTAGCTGCGCCCCTACAGCAGAAAGTAGCCTGTGCCAGGTGGAGCGGGGGAGCGCAGCTCAGGGTGAGGAATCTGCCCCTCCTGTGCCTGCAGAGCTGCCCCAGACTGCTCGCCCAAGCTACAGAGACAAAGGGAAGAAGCGGAGGAGGAGGCGGAGGAGGCGATGGAGGACCAGCTGCCTGCGCCCTTCTGCAGAAGCCCCCAGGTGTCAACACTGCCCTTCCCTCCTCCACCCCAGACCCTCAGGGATGGACCCCACCCAACCCTCTCCCTGCTGCCGGGTCGGACCAGGCACTGCTTCTCCCACTAGGGAACAAGGCAGGCAGGTTCACAGGGAGCCTGGAGGAGGCAGCCAGGGGCAAGGCCAAGGTCAGCACAAAAACAGTTTCAAGGACATGGGCTGGGTGCCTGGGCTGGGGGCTTGGAGGCCCTGACCTCCATCCCTCATCAGTCTCGGTCCACCTCAGGGCTTGCAAGACCAGGCAGACGGGGGCCGCTAGCGTCACTGGGGCTTTTCCACATCCCCCTTCCGGCTGCTCCGCTCTGCTTCTGAGGCCTGGCTCCCTTTCACCCACCTAGCTTGGCTCCACAGTGGGATTTATCGCTGGCCACCCCTCTGTCTGCCCCAGGGCAATAAATCAGGGTGGAGCCAAAAGGCAACCCTGCCCTGTGTGGGGTATAAGAGAAGGGCTCGGCCAAGGCCTCAGTGGACCTGGTGGGTGCTCGAAGCGGACAGAACAAAATGCTGCGCTGGGGATTCTTGCTGCTGTTCCTGGGATCCTGCACCTTCGGTCTCCCCATGGACACAGCTGCCTTCAAACGGTAACTTGGGCAGAGAAGGGGTGGCTGGGTACAGGGATCCCTGCTTTCCTAATACCCCCACCCCACCCCACTTTCAGATATGTGGGTTCCTCCGTCCCCCAGGACCAGCCAATCAGAGGGGTCCTGTCCCATCCAGGGTCCTCTCCAGAGCAGCGCTTGTCAGCCTGGAAGCCTTTTGATTCCTGCTAGGGTGGCTAGGGTGGGGGGCAATCCTCAGAGATCGCCCCTAGGAGCCCACAGGCTAATTATTAAGAAGGAAACGGGACAGTTAGTTCAACCAGCTAGCACAATAGAGCTGGAAAGAGCAAGTCTTCCAGAGTCGGCCTTGGTTTACATTCTGCTCCAGTAAATGGAATGTGCCAGCTCTGGAATTGAGGGTCAGTTAACCTCTCCAAGTCTCAGCATCCTCTTTTTATTTATTTATTTGGGAGGGGAGGTACCGGGGATTGAACTCAGGTCCTTGCACTTGTGAGGCAGGCAGCGGAACCACTGAGCTAAATCCCCGGCCCTCAGCATCCTCCTTTTAAAGCAGGGATCATAGAAGCATCCTCTTTTTATTTTTATTTGGGAGGGGAGGTACCGGGGATTGAACTCAGGTCCTTGCACTTGTGAGGCAGGCAGCGGAACCACTGAGCTAAATCCCCGGCCCTCAGCATCCTCCTTTTAAAGCAGGGATCATAGCAGAGCCTATTTCCCAGGGCTGCTCTGGGAATTAATGAGGATACTGTATGTAAAGCCAGGGCAGCACAGTGAGAACCCACTGTAGTTAGTATTAATCCTCACCAATGTTCAAGGGAAGGATTTCGGCAGCACCGGCAGGGCCGAGAAAGCCCCGCCTCCCATTCAAGACCCCAAGAGACTCCTCAGGACCAGAGAAGGGGGGTGGCTGGGCTGGAAAGCAGCCTCAGAGAGAGAGGAGTGCTCAGTTTAGGGACAGCACAGGGGCCTGCAGTAAGCCCACAGAGGCAGGTTTTCGCAGCCTATAGCTGCCGCCTGTAAGAGGCTTAAGGCCTCCCAGGGTTTTACCAGGGCTCACCCCAAATGATGCCCCAACAACTCAGCGTCTCACTTTACAGGTGGGGCTGGGGCTCCACACACATGCGGCCTTTGTTTCCAGAGCTTTCCCCCTGCTCCAAGGCTCTCAGAGGGCAGCTGCTGGATGGGGCCCATGAGGCACGTGTGTGGGGGCTCCCCCCAGGATGAAGGGAGAGGAAGTGGGAACATTCTCCCTATTCTCCTCCAAAGGAGAAGAATGGAATCAGGCAACGTGCGGGGAAGGAGTCAGGCTTTTGACACAGTCCTAAGAGTTTTGCCGCCTGCTTTGTGCCGAGCACTGTGCAAGGCACTATGGGAGATTTGGACGCATGAGCACCCTCCTGAGGGTGCTGTCCTCGTCTGGTGCACAGAAGATGCATCATGCGCTGAGCTGTGGGCAGCCTCTGACCTGCACAGTGACTCTGAGGGGGTTCTTCCAGTGGAACCATTTCTGCGGAGGAACTAATGGGGACTCACAAGAGGCCCAGAGAGGTCGGGTCATGCTCTGAATCACACAGCAAGCAAGGAGAGCCAAGTGTTCTCCCCATAACCACACAGCCACAGGCCGTGTAGTGCCTGCTGGGTGCGCCCAGGGGAAATGGAGCAGGAACCCAGTGAGGAAGCTGGAGACAGGGAGCTCAGTGTGAGCTGGGGTCCTTGGGAACGCTGTCGGGTGGGGGCCATGTGGGCTGTGCAGGATTAAAGAACTTGGGGGTGGAAAGAGAGGGACTTTCTGAAAGAGGAATGACAACAAAGCCAGGGTCCAAGGCAGAGGCTGTTTTTAGCAAGCAATGGGAAATGTACCTTCTCTGACCCTCCACTTTCCCATCCGCCAAGTGGCAGTAATAAAAGCCCCCAGCCCGTGGGATGGCTGAGGATCAGATTGTGAAAATATTCTGGGGACGGTAAACTGCCATGGGAATGTAATACATTTCTGCTACAATAGTCCACCGATAGACGTCAACGCTGCCTTCCTGTCCACGGCCAAAATGAGAGGACGGTCAGTAGAGGGAAGGGAAGGAGAGAGCCAGCCAGGAGGACTCTGACGTGAAGAGGAGGGAGTCTCCGAAGGCCTGGGACAGTCAGTGGAAAGTCAGGCTGGCCTTGGTCCTGGGACCCACGGCCAGTAGCCCAGACTCCTTCCCCCAGGCTCTGACGAACAGCCTCCAAGTCATAGCCCGGGGGACCCAGGGTGCAGGTTTGAGTCCTCCGTTACTTCTGAGTCACTCTCACCCTTGAGCCTTTATTTCTCTAGCTATAAAATGGGACAGATGGTCTGCAGAGCCACGATGGGGTCCGCACGGAGATGAGGGCGGCGGTGTTTTACTGCCCCATCCCCAGGGAGTGGCATAACACGCAGTGAGGTCCCAGGTCTCTTGAATTCCACCTGCCAAAGGTGACTGGGAGATACCTGCACACGGATAAAAACGACTCCTTCCAAGAGCGAGGTGCGCTGCCCCCGGTCTGCTACTGGCACATGCTGCCACCTACAGGCCTGACATGGCACTGTCGCCAGCACTGAGGGGCTGTTCCCAGCCTCCATCTCCTCAGAGGGACCAACATCACTGGCTTCCTATCTGTCTCCCTGCTGAGTTCTTCAAGGTAGCAGTGACCTTTATCTGTACATCTCTGTCCAGTGCACTGAGGCACAGAGTGAGTGTCAAGCACATGATTGTGACAGGGATGGCCGGGTGGACAGAGGTTTCTTAAATACCAATGCAGGGAGGGCTGGTACATTCTCTTTGGAAACCCTACGGCAAAAAAGTAAATCTTAGGTGCTTGGGCTAAGGCTCAAGGCAGTAGACTAAAAGCAGGGCACCAGGGCTCTCCCATTATTAGTGAGGACTACAGGGCTCTCCTGTTCTCCCACCTGGCTAGGATCTTACTCAAGAAAATGCCCTCCATCCGGGACAGCCTGCAGAAGTGGGGAGTAGACATGAGCAGGCTGGAAGCCTATCAGGAAGAGTTCACCAAGAGTGAGTCCCTTCACAAAAGAACCGCCTCTGTGGTCCTCACCAACTACCTAGACGTAAGTACCCATCATCCTTGGACCTCGGGTCTTTGCCTCCAGAGACTGCTGTGTTTGAGCTCCCAGGAACACCTGAGTAGCCAACAAAACTCCTATTTTACAGCAGGAAATCCTGGGGCAGAGAGCAGGAAGAAGCCCAGGGAAGAGTGAGCCCAGGCCTCGAGCCGGGCATCACGGAGGCGGGCAGTGCTTGAGCTCAGGCGGATTCCTGTGACCTGGCCTGGCACCCTCTGATGACCCCTGTAGCTTCCTGCTTCATTTTTACTGTTTTTATTTTGCTTTCTTGTTTTGCTAAGCTTCCTGGGTCCTGGGATGCTGGGAAACAGTGTTAAGCCCCCACCTGGTCCCTGCAGGTCAACAGGAATCCCAGAGAGGCTGTGGGATCTGCCTAACCCCGCTGTGAGAGCCAAGGGGGGAACCAGGCAACGGCCCTGAGTCCCTCCAGCTACTTCTTCCTCTCCACCCCCACAGATCCAGTACTATGGTGAGATCAGCATCGGCACCCCACCCCAGACCTTCAAAGTCGTCTTTGACTCAGGTTCAGCCAACCTCTGGGTGCCCTCCACCAAGTGCAGCCCTCTCTACACCGCCTGTGGTGAGACCCAGGCCCTGTGGCGTCTCTCCCTCTGACCCCTGCCCCAGCCCAGCTAAATCCCCCCCTGCGCACGCAGCCGCTTCCTTCTGCCTCTGCACCCCCTGGCCCTGGGAGGAGAGAGGACACCTCCCATGCCCCTGACATGGCCACTGAGGTGAGGAGCCAGCTCCGGCAGCAGCTGGCCACCCAGAAAGCCCTTTCCCAGGCTTCCTAAGACTAAGACAGGAACAGAAACTCAGTCACATTCCAGCCCTTCAACTCTTCGATCCCCAGTCCCAGTCAACAGTCCCTTCCTGAACACTTACTCTCTGTGCCCAGAATCTTCTCCGGCATCGTTAGAGTTGGCATTTACCTTTGAATGCTTGGCTCCAGACAAAAAAGTCTCAGAGGTTTAAGAACAGAAGAAGGGCCCCAAAACAGCCCTTGATGGCTGAAGCACAGTTTCCAAGTGCTGACGTCAGGGCCACCCCATGCCTGCACCTAAGTGAAGTCCTCCACCACACCGGCTGTGCCCACAACTCGCCCTGCCTTTGAGCCCCTGCCTGGGCCACTCTGGCACAGACCTGACTCTCCATCTCCCCACCAGTTTTTCACAGTCTCTACGACTCCTCGAAATCTTCCAGCTATGTAGAGAACGGGACCGAACTCAGCATCAACTATGGCTTGGGGAATGTCAAAGGCTTCCTAAGCCAGGACAGGGTAACTGTAAGTGGAGCTTCCCTGGTTGTCTGATCCCTCTGCTTCTGGCCCCAGTCTTCTGCTGAGCTTCAAGGCCTGCTCGGGGTGGGGGGCAGGGAGGGACATTCCAGCCCACCTTGGAGCTGGGGAAGTGAGGAATGCTTGCTCTGTGGCTTCTGGCCGGAGCTGCAAAAAGACAGAAGCTGCAGTGCGGCCACCCCGAACTCCTGGCTCCCACAGGGTGATGGGTGGAAGCTTTCACACCCAACTCCCAGGGAGGCCCAGCCTGAGCCCCGCAGCCTCCAGCTGCAGAGCTGCCTGGCTCTGACTGGGGTCTTAACCAGGTCCCAGATCAACATCCACGCTCAGCATCTTGCTGGCACTGTGGTCAGGCTCAGTCTTAGTGACGAGGACAGCCAAAGTCAGAGTACGGTGCTAGGGTCAGGACCTGGCTCCCTTTTCGTTTGTGTCTGACCTCTCCAACCTGCAGCATCTCAGCCTCTGTCATGACAGATTTGGGAAAGGGGTGCAGGGGGAACCCAAGAGGACATCAGTGTGGGCCCCGCCCATCCCTGTCTGTGAAATCAGAGGGAAGGGTCAGCAAGGAGGGATCTGGCCATGCTGGAGAAACCCTTCGCCTGTGTTGGGGATGGGAGCCCAAACCTCGTCCAGCCCCGTGAATGTGGCCACTGGGCAGGGGCATAGAGCTCTGGGCACATTTCCTGTCACTGCCTGGCAGAGCCACCTTCTCAGCCTGTGCCCTGGCCAACACTGCCCACCTACCCCCTGAAGACCCTACAGCAGGGACGCAAGTGGAGGGAGGGAGGGAGGGCGGGCTGCGCACCCAGGGTTGACGAGGCTGTCTTGCCCCAGGTGGCTGCACCTGGAGCAGGTGTGTCTCTGAGGCTCCTGGTGTAGGAGCCCAGCTCAGACCCCAGCCTGGGGTGAGCAGTGGGCTCGGTCTCCTCTGGTTCTTCTCCCCACAGGTGGGCGGAATCACCGTGACCCAGACATTCGGCGAGATCACAGCACTGCCCCTCATCCCCTTCGTGCTGGCCAAGTTTGATGGGGTTCTGGGCTTGGGCTTCCCCGAACAGGCCGTTGGCGGAGTCACCCCCTTCTTTGACAACATCCTTGCCCAGAAAGTGCTGAAAGAGGACGTCTTCTCCATCTACTATGGCAGGTGGGCCTGTGGCCTTGGGGCCTGGGGCACAGTGGGGAGGCGGGGCAGATCTGGAGGTGTCGAAGAGGAATCTGGCCAGGATTTGCAAGTTCCTGGTTATACACCGGTCAATCGTATTCAGAGCCTTGCGCTAGCCACATTGGAAGCCGCCGTTGACACTGCAATCAGTTAAATCCAAACATACAGTTCCATAGCACTAGCCCAATGCCAGTGCTCAGCAGCCACAGAGGGCAGTGCCCACCATGCTGGATAAGGCAGACAGAACCGCTCCATGTTCTCGTGGCCAGCACTGGAGCAAGAGGAGAATGCAGACAGGAGAGGGGGCATCGCTGTGAGCTGGAGAGTAGGAGGCCACGGTTCTCTGACACAGACACAGCCAGCTCCATCTGTTCATTCGCCAATCACTGACCCAGGTGATGCCAAGGGCCGCACGCTGTGGTCACTCGGGGGGCAGAGCAGTGAACACAGCGAACGAGACAACCCCTACCCTGCAGTCTGCAGGGAACACCGTGCTGGAAGACACAGGGGCTTTCAGGGTGGGCCGAGCCCTGGGGTTAGAAAGACGGTCTGAGCTACGGTCTGAGGTACGGTATGGCGAGGGGTCATACGGAGAGAAAGACATCCACTCTGCAGTCGGGAGAGGTTGTGCTCGGGAAGAGCCCTTTGCAGAGGAAGTGCGGCAAGGCCAGATGGCAAGCAGTGAAGCAGAGGTGGGTGTCAGAAAGCGGAGGCCCCCACATGTAGGCTGCCCTGGGAAATTCAACAGCGAAGGATGCGGGCGAGACCGGAGAGAAGCAGGGAAAGGGAGGTGGGTGTTTCTGAACGCTGGAGGGTGCTTGAGCAATGCCGGTGGGCGGGGGAAGAAGCCAATGGAGGCAAGAGACTGAAAATATGGAGAGGAGGTAAACAGGGCCACAGGAGCCGGGGCCATAGGGTGGAGGGGACAGGGAGCCAGCAAACAGGAAGAAGGTAGGCCCTGCTGAGCAGAGGGTTTTCCTGCACCTAGGGCTGGGGCCTCCGGGGAGACGGTGCACCTACGCACCGCATAGGAGATGCAAGCGAGTGCCGCTTGCACAACAGAACACACGCACTCTTACACCCTGGTGCACACAGCAGCATGCGCACGTGCCTCTGATGTGAGTTCCAGGAAAGCACAACACACGTGCACACTCGGAGAACCAGCCCTAAGCTACGGAGGCCCTGAGCCGGGAGGCACCGTGCACCCTGCAGAGGAAGGAGGGGAATCAGTCTGTCTGGGCACTGGGAGCCCTCCAGGCCCACGTGACTTCTGGCAAATGACTTCACCTCTTGGTTCTTGTTCTCTCCCCCTCTCTCTCTGTCTCCAGAAACTCCAAGGAGGACCCTCTAATACTACTCGAGCCCTTGACTCAAAATCATACATGTCACCGGCCCGAAACTCACCTCAGCAAGCCTGGGCTCCCCCGATGCCCGCTCTCTGACCCTGTGCCTTGTCCTCTCCACATCCCACCCTCCCCCAGCAGCCTCCCATAATCCCCCCAAGCACCTGCTCAACCCATGTGAGGGCTGTGATTTGCATCTTGTTTGCTATGCTCCTACTTTTTCTACAGCCTCTCTGGGGATTTATTTTTGGGTGCAGCTGGACCCGCTGGCAGATCTCTGGCTGGGCTGAGGAGGCGCCTGCAAGGGGAGAAGCTGCTTTGTAGTGATGGCGTCCAGCCTGGCCAACCCCACCTTCGCCTGCCTTGCCCAGCGCCTTACCTCAGGCCTCGAGGTCCTAAGCTGGTGGGCCTCTAACAGCTGCCATCTCTCCTCCAGGAATCCCCACCTGCCAGGGGGAGAGCTGCTGCTGGGGGGCAGTGACCCCGAACACTACCACGGGGATTTCCACTACGTGAGCCTCAGCAAGAGCGGCTCCTGGCAGATCACGATGAAGGGGTCAGGAATCCCCAACCCACCCCACTGTACCCCAATGCTGCCCTGGGGTTGGGCTGGGACGGCAGGGCCAGTGGGGTTGTTGTCCTGCGCTCTCCCAGCAAGCTGCTTCTTGAGGCACAGCCACCACTGCTCTGCGCCTGCTCTGACCACATTGCTGAGATTTGAGGGTTGGGGGGCCAAAGTCACTGGGCCACTTGCTGAGGGTGGGGATCGCACCTTCCCTCACCCTCACCCCTCTGGTGCATCCCTGATCACCAGCATGGCTCCCGTCATCGCCCTTACTCAGGAAATATGCAGTCTGGGGGTGTCTGTCAACCTGCTGTCTGTCTGTCTGTGACCTCCAGGGTGGCCGTGGGCTTTACCACGGTGCTGTGTGAGGAGGGCTGTGAGGCAGTGGTGGACACGGGTGCCTCCTATATCTCGGGCCCCACCAGCTCCCTGAGGCTGATGATGAAGGCCGTGGGCGCCCAGGAGTACGGCAGAGACCTAGTAAGATGCTAAAGTGGGGGGCTGGCGGTAGATGAAGCACCCCGTTCTGAGCCTCGGAATTACCCTGGGCTGCATTCGGTCCCAAACAAGGCCATTTCAGGCCTCCTCCTGCTCACCTCTGACACCTCTGACCAGCACATGTGGCTGGCTCCCTGTGCAGGGAGGACAGGTGTGGTGCTCAGCCCTCTCTATCAGAGGGTCCAGGCCCCAAGTACAGGACTTTCAACGGGGCTCCCTTTGTCCCTCCCACAGTATATCGTGAACTGTAACCAGGCAGCCACGCTCCCTGACATCTCCTTCCACCTGGGAGACAGAGCCTACACGCTCACCAGTGAAGACTACGTGTTAAAGGTGAGGGAGGCGCAGGGCGTGGCTGCACTTGTCACGCGGAGACCTAAATATCCCAGTGCACAGGCCGCATCGGAGAGGCCAGGATCTCTAGGTGATGCACCTGGGCATCAGCGCTTCCACAGGTGCCCTGGGGGATACCAGTGTGTGGCCATAGTGGCATCACTGCACGGGTCCCTCTCCCTCTGCTTCCCATCAAATCTTCCAGACTGCCAGGCTCCCACATTCTCATCCTCCTTCCAGGCTCATGAGGCTTTAGAGAAGCTGAATAACTTGTCTAGGGCCAGAAAGAAAAGCCAGACTGGCAGCTCTGGAAGGTGCCGATGCAAAGCATGCCTGGTGTTTGGCACAGCACCTGCACGGGGGTGGGGGGGATCCATGCTGGGCTAAGATGGCCAAGAGGTGATGGATGGGGGAGCAGCAGGGACACTGCTGAAGACAGCTGCTGGGATCAGGCCAGGTGACAGGAAAGTCACGGGCTGGACAGTGGCAAACCCTCCTGTCCCCTGCCAGGACACCTACGGAAATGATGACATGTGTGTGCTGGCCCTCCATGGCCTGGACATCCCACCACCCACCGGGCCCCTCTGGGCCCTGGGTGCCAGCTTCATCCGGAAGTTCTACACAGAATTTGATCGACATAACAAACGTATTGGCTTTGCCTTGGCCCGCTGAGCCTTCGGCCTCCAGTGTGAGCCCAGAGCTGGAGCTCTCTCTGGGGGGTCCCCTCTGCCTGGGCTCATGCCCTTGTGCAGGGGCACTGAACATGGAATCCCTGCCCCCTGCACCAGCCCTTCCTTGCTTTGAGGACAAAGAGAATAAAGACTTCATGTTTACAAGCCGTTGCCTCTGGGTTCACTTGAGTTTGGAACAGAGGGAGGGGCAGCTGCATGATCCTGTGCGTATAGGAATGAGACACAGACAGACACATGCAGCCTTTGCATAGGTTCCTGTGTGCGTGGATGACGTCATCTCTCTGCTGCCAACAGGGCTCTGGTGGAGTCTGTTTACATGGCCTTGGTTGGGGAGCTTACAGAAGAGCCAGCCCAGTGTCCCTTCTGGAACCCTAGGGACCAAGGCTAGTATGAGGCAATAGACCATGGGTCAGAAAAGTGTCCCAGCTCACAGAAGCCAGCACAGAGCCTAGGGCCTGCACTACTGAGCTATCCGGCCCAGCCTCTCAGGCCTGGCCAAACTCCCTCCAACCTGCTTTTCCCCTTCTGCAGATACCCTGCCCTGTGTGGCCATTTACACAGGAGTCTTAGGCCCCGCACCACCATTAAATCGTAGACCCTCTGCGATCCAACCAGCATTCCCTCTTTACCACCGGGGAAGAGGCCCTGGGAATGGAAGGCACTCACCCAGGGTCACTCAGTGGAGATGCAAGTAAGGAAGAATCCTGAAAGGCAGTAAGGAGTCAAGCCTCAGCCCCAGTCTGCCTGACTTGGGTCCTGGGGTGGGGGAGTTTTTGTCACCTTAGCCTATGCAGTGGTACTGTCACAGGTACAGAGTGCCACACCACCTGGTATGGGACCATGTGCACAGAAACAGACCTTCCATCTCATGGCCTTGGGACACTGACTGAAGTCTCTTCTCCCACTCTTACCCCCTGGACCATCTGGAGGGCATAGAGAGCTTAGCAGATGAGAAAGCAGCTTCCTAGGGCTGGGAGCATTGCTCAGTGGTACAGGACTTGCCTAGTATATGGGAGACTTGGGTTCAATTCTCAGAACCAAAAAAATAAAGTAGTAAAAGCATTCACCTGAAGCCACTAGCACTGTCCCTTCACCATAGCAGCACATCCCTCCTTGGACCAAAAATCATGGGGCACTGAGTGGGTCAGCCAGGCCCCTGGTACCTGCAGGACTGCAGCCTCCTGGGGTTGGGTGGGACTCCAGGGTTAGTCCAAGGCAGTCTTTCTGCAGCAAGAGCTGTCCTGTACATCCCGGTGCAGAACCGAGAGCAAGAGCCTCAGCCCCTGCACTCCTGCTACCCTTGCCCTGTATGGCTTTACCTCCTCTGAGAAAGGAAGAGCTGGAGGCAGAGTTCTTTCCACACTCGACATCCTGGGGCTTTGTGACCTTAAACACCCCTACACTTTCAGCTGCACTGTTCAGCACAGTACCCACAAGGGCTCCTTGCGTTCACATTCAAGTTAAAGTTACCTACGATGTCACATTAGCCATATTTCAAGTGCTGGACAACCACATGGGGCTAGTGGCCACCGCATTAGGCATGGCACAAGTTCTTCCAGGCCAAGTTGGGTCTGGAACAGCAAACACAGGCCCTTGCAGTTGGTTGGGAGGTTTCTGAACAGGCCAAAGGGACAATGTGGGGACAGAGAAATGGTCTCCTACTCTGTAGGAACTTTTCAGGGGGTGGGGCAGTGAGATGGTGACAGTAAGGTCTCTAGGGCAATACACTGAGTGACTATGGTTGAGGCAGAGGACAGGTGGCCAACAGGGCAACACTCAGGAGGTGACAGATGGCCAGTGGAGAGGACAGCTCAGCTCCCAGAAGAGCTGTCCACTAGGCTGAGCTGGCCTCTTCCCAGGTCTCCTTCCCATAGCAGCTTTGCCTCCGGGACACCCTGTCACCCTTCCTCTTTCCCATTCTACTCCCAGGGGTCTGGCCACCTCCACATTCCTCTGCTCAACAAGGCCCAGGGTGAAGGGCACCTGCTGGCCAGCCTGCCACCGCCAAACGCAGTCTTGCTCAAAGTCTTGGCCTAGAATGAGCCCAAAGGCTGCGGTGTCTTGGAACGTTCTGCCAGGCACATCCACCCTCAGAGCCATCACCCCTGTCCCCTCTCCATGGAGGGGGGGTTGGGTTTGAGGTGCAGGGGGAGCCCAGGGACTGAGGGCAGAAAGCACGACCCAGGGAACGAGCCCTAGCCTAACCCTTGGGAGCCACAGGATTCCATATCCCCGGATGAAGGAGGGGCACAAAGAGCTCTCCGCGCCCCTGGCCTTGGTCGTCGCGGAAAGACCACCCCTGCCCAGAGGCTTGGGAAGCAGCCCCGGGCGTGAGTCACAGCTTCTCCAGAGGGAGTCCGAGGGCAGGACTTTGCGGAGGCCCCGCCCCCGCGCCCCCGTCCCCTCCCGGAGGCGTCACCCT